AATAAAATATTTCTAACCTAGAAAATTTTTTGTACGTTAAACTTTAATTTCATACTTTCATTACAATATTTTTTTTAAAGTTTGTAACAATTTAGAACAATGACAAAACAAATTAACAAGTAATAATTTAAAATAAATTTCGAATAGAGATCTACAAAAAATTAGTGGGATAGTCGGACAGTCGATCCAATGAAAGTGGGTGCGAACAATGGGCTATTAAATTCTAACTAATTAAGCAAATATTGGATAATTGAACTCGGAACATGAATACTATCTTTTCGATATTATACATGTAATCGGATGTATATGTATATCTTTTGAAATCATGATCAATCAATTGTTAGACCTTGGAGGCTAGTATGGGACTCATCAGCAGTGCACATCCACGACCCCTTCACCAGGGCATCAAACCTAGGACTTTCGATCTAGCGTGCGAATGCTGAACCTCTTACCTCAACACTTTTCACAATTCTATAATGAAGATACTACATATTGTTAAAATTTACAATGTCTATAATGTTTTATAGATGATTGACGAGAAAAAAGTAAGAACAATAAACATTTTTGTACATAAAAGAAAACTCTCATCAGTATGCTTTGATAGTTCAGTAATTCTGTTGCATAAAATCAATAAATAGGGACTAACTGTTAACGGCTCATTGTGTTTTAAATTCTTTGTAAAATAAATCATACAGAGTATTCAAACAACTAATTCACAAATTAAATCAATGCAAATGCATTTTAGGTTAAGTTAGATCAATCAGCCAACCGTATTTCTTTTAAAATTATCCTCTAATAGTATAAGTCCTTTCAATCGCACTCTTAAATAAATCATTTCACTAACGTGTTTTCAACGTGATGTCTGGCAGCCGAAGATGGGGAAAGATCAAGAAAGTGAAGAGTTAGAAAACAATGGAATTTTGTATGAAACGCATGAATAGTGACAAGTGGATTGATGTTTGCAACAGGACCAGTCCAGTTCCGATATGATGACCTGATATTTTGCAAATGAACAATTTACGATATGGTTTTCCGATTTTACTGATAACTCTGGTAATTTTTCGTTGAATATACATTCGGTTGCCCCAGCCTGTGTTCTCGTTCACTACAATCGGACATAAACATTGCTATCTTGAATGAACGAATACTCTTCAATAATCACTACTACTGGCTAACTAATGATTTGAAACTGTCAGTTCAATAATACATATAAACAGTATTTAAAGAACTGAGTATACTGAAGATAAATCGATTCATCGAAAGTAAATTCCTTATTGTATTAAATGTATTAACTGAACAAGAAATGATAAAGATGTGAGGACTTTATTCGATGATAATAATGCTTATATGTGTTTAATGAATCCTTACTATACAGACAAAAACTAAGCGGAAACCATTTTCATGTCCAATATTTGTATTCTTCTTTCATCAATACAATAGAATTACCTACACAGCATTTGCTTAGTTCAATCAATTCTATGACTATTTCAAATAATAAGTTGATTATCTTGCGGTGTGTGTGGATCCCCTCGTGCTAAGTCAACTCCAGCAGTCCACACAAGTGAGCACGTGAATCGCTTCTCTTCGGTTGGCCAACCTCGTCGTGGTTGGCCTACCGAAGAGAAGCGATTCACGTGCTCACTTGTGTGGACTGCTGGACTTGTCTTTGCACGCGGGGATCCACACTCACCGCAAGATAATCACTTTATTAATTTGAAATAGTTTAATTATTGAACAAGCAATGCATTGTTTTGATTGTATTGATTGAAAGAAGAATACAATATATTGACATGAATATGGTTTCCACTTAGTTTTTGTCTGTATAGTAAGGATTTCATTAAAACACATGATAATGCATTATTATCATTCGAATAAAGTCTACATCATCTTTATCATTTCTTGTTCAGTTAGATACTTTAATACAATAAGGAATTTTACTTTCGATGAATCGATTTATCTTCAGTATACTCAGTTCTTTAAAATACTGTTTATATATATATATTGAACTGACAGTTTCAAATCAATTAGTTAGCCAGTAGTAGTGATTATGAAGAGTATTCGTTCATTCAAGATAGCAATGTTATGTCCTATTGTAGTGAAGGAGAACACAGGTGGGGCAACCGAATTATATTCAACGAAAATTACAGAGTTATCAGTAAAATCGGAAAACCATATCGTAAATCGTTAATTTGCAAAATATCAGTTCATCATATGGAACTGGACTGTTCCTGTTGCAAAACATCAGTCCACTGTCACTATTCATGCGTTTCATACAAATTCCATTGTTTTCTAACTCTTCCTTTCTTGATCTTTCCCCATCTTCGGCTGCCAGACATCACGTTGAAAACACGTTAGTGAAATGATTTATTCAAGAGTGCGATTGAAAGGACTTATACTATTAGAGGATAATTTTAAAAGAAATACGGTTGGCTGATTGATCTGACTTAACCTAGAATACATTTGCATTGATTTAATTTGGGAATTAGTTGTTTGAATACTCTGTATGATTTGTTTTTCAAAGAACTTAAAATACAATGAGCCATTACCATTTGGTCCCTATTTATTGATTTTATGCAACAGAATTACTGAACTGTCTAAGCATACTGATGAGAGTTTTCTTTTATGTACAAAAATGTTTATTGTTCTTACTTTTTTCTTGTCAATCATCTATAAAACATTGTAGACATTGTAAATTTTAACAATATGTAGTATCTTCATTATAGAATTGTGAAAAGTGTTGAGGTAAGAGGTCCAGCGTTCGCACCGTAGGTCGAAAGTCCTGGGTTCGATGCCCGGGTGAAGGGGTCGTAAATGTGCACTACTGATGAGTCTCATACTAGCTCCCAGGTTTCATAAGGTGGTCTAACATTGATTGATTCATGATTTCAAAAGATATACATATACATCCGATTACATGTATAATATCGAAAAGATAGTATTCATGTTCCGAGTTCAATTCTACAATATTTGCTTAATTAGTTAGAATTTAATAGCCCATTGTTCGCACCCACTTTCATTGGATCGACTGTCCAACTATCCCACTAATTTTTTGTAGATCTCTATTCGAAATTTATTTTAAATTATTACTTGTTAATTTATTTTGTCATTGTTCTAAATTGTAACAAACTTTAAAAAAATATTGTAATGAAAGTATGGAATTAAAGTTTGACGTACAAAAAATTTTCTAGGTTAGAAATATTTTACTGCTTTCTCTTTTACATGTGAATATTAATATTGGAACTCAAAATTAGCATCTTTTTCTCTTGATGTTCACGTGTTATTCATTGAGCTTCTGAATGGAAATAGCTCTCGAGACTCACGAAACAGTTATGGGTGTTTATCAGTGGTTACAATTATCTCTCTTTTGTTATTTAAGAACAAGGTTTTGATCCATTGATGAGTCCAAAATAGAAGGAAATGTAATGTCTAAACTCTGCTAAAACAACTACAACCTATCTACTTAAAGAAACAACCTTAACAAAATGATTATATCAAGTTAATTCAAACAAATCATTCGTAGGCTGATCAAAACTACATCCTAACTACCAATAATGGGAAAATTGAACTTAAGTTGAGATTACTGTTTAAAAGTCTCGTCAAGTATCATATAGAATGATTATAACCGGATTTAGTTTGGATCACTTGACTAATTTCCAAGTGTCAAGCAGATAAATGTTGAATGGCAGAACAACTGATGAACTGATTAAATATACATATTTGTATATCATGTTATGCTCGTCTCTAGGTATGCTTAAAATTATTACGGGTTCACCTCAGTCGAATTAGGAGAACAAAACAATCAACCAGCTTCCACGTAGGCTACCGTGATCCGATCGTCCCAATTTCACCAGCAAGAAGTGTTGATATAGCGTAGGAAGTGTGTTCTACAAACACCCAACCAGCACACAATGAAACCAAGCACTCAAAGTGCGTTTATTTATACACCATAGAGACGTCCTTGGGACAGTAAAAAGAATCGCACACTAAAATGACACAGTAATCAATCACAGCCAATGATTTTCCATGCCGGAAATGTGATCTCAAGGTCAACTGATCTGTCCATGAAATAAATCGAAACTAAAGATATTTATGAAGCGAGTTCTGGGGATCTAACATCCCCAACATTACAAGACTAATTAATAATAGTATATTAATTAGCTCAATGTTAATTGAGCTATCTAACAAATAACCAATGAACAGTGAGAGGAAAATAAATTAAAATCGAGCTAATAAACACATTCATCGATTGCTTAATTCCAGATGTTGTAAACAATTAGTACTTAGTTAACATTGTACTTTCTTCAAACTACTCTCGGTTTCCGAAATATATATACAAAATGTTAGAAATAATTCAACATGTGTTTATATAACGATTCATCGTTGACTGAGTAACCTGTGATTACTTCAAACTACCTATTACCTAAATATGCTATACGCTGTATCGAGTCATTGAAACTATTGAACACATTGAAAATTTACCCATTTAATCGAGTCAATTCTAAAAACTACATAAAAATAGCATCAGCCACCACCCAACAATCAATCATTTGCAAATATATCTCACACAGAATGTCAGTCATCGTCTGAATGACTCAGTAGTAATGTCTGTGACTGTGAAATTGAGTGAGAGTGGATCGAATCCTCCAGAGATGATCAATTCACTCATATACACCTTATCAATGAGTGCCAAAAGTTACGAGACATGGGCTCAAGGTTTGTTGTTGACCACATTCAATCGCTTAATATCTACGACATTTCTGCCATTTTTCACTCACCCTCAATTTGATCAGTCATTAAAAAGGGCCAATTCGCATTTGGCAATTTAAATATCTAATTTCTGATAGTTTTAACTACTCAATCACTCATATCTTTATGATCAGAATATACATGTATGTAGAGAAGTATTGGGTACTAAATATCTACATAACCATTGATCTAAATGACCATTAAAACTCTTTTGATCATGAATACACTTTTACGTTGAACATTAGTCAAGTTTTTGTACTTCACATGTTAAATTCGACAAATAAAATTGTATTACAGAAAAGTAGGCGAACAAATGAATACTTTCCTCTTGAAAACAGAAAAGTTAATTGTGAAAAATAATTTTGATGATTTGTTTAAATTGTTGGTCAATGATTTGCTTAGTTCATATGAATTAATTTCATGAAAATTTGCGGTAAGATAAAAAAAAATATTGATTTGAAATCCAGATGTACTGTACTTTTAATTCATGCATATCTTCCATAATCTTTTTTCCGGAATTTATAACCATGTGTAGTTTGTTTGATCTGTAAATATTGTCAGTGACAATATATATATATATATATATATATATATATATATATATATATCTGTGTGGATGCACAAATGAGAGACGGAAATCCAGTTCAAATTACAATTTTATTATTGATTAGTAGAATGAAACTTATGAGTGTTATTTCAGTTTGCACTGATTGATTGCCAAGTAATTACTAACACCATGTGTATCAAGCATGCAGTACTAATTCAACTCAATGGATCAAGTTTCTATATGATCACTAATTAATTCAGTATCATATAAAGTTTGTTAAATTTCTGAAGGAAGCCAACAAAACGTTCCAGAATCCAGATTGAAGCTCGTTAATAAAATCTATCCGTAATCTCGGTGAAAATGATCTTTATCATGATATCCAAATCTATACCCACCAGTGTTTGTTTTTCAGTGTAAAGTTATGTAGGTGATTTAGTTTCATTGATCGACCACTATTAGAAAGCTAGAGTTTCAATAAAGCTCAATAATCTCAATAACTCTATAATGAAAAATCATAAAATGTTCTCATCAGTGATTAGCTTCGTGAGGAAATTCTCGGAGTTCCAGTGAGAAACCGTGACCATTGGGGTTCACTCGTGTCGAGTGTAAGGTTGTTGTCCACCGAATACAATGGATGAGGCCGCGCAATATCGTGGATTGATTGGAATTAGATAATACCACCGTTGGATACCGGCTCAGTGGTCTAGAGGTTGAGCGTCCGCGCATGAAACCGAAGGACCTGGGTTCGACTCCGGTGAATGGTGATCGTCGATGTGCACTGTTAATGAGTCCAATATAAAGACAAAACGGCCATCCACTACTTGTAGGTTTCTAATGGTGGTCTAAAAATGATCGATCCATAATTTCAATTAAAATTTATTGATTGAATCCTAACTTGATTGATAAAATTCAATTGATAATACTAATGACAATATTAACACAATAACATGATTACTACTCAGCAGTCAATAATTGTTTTCATCATAATCTTAAAGAGACCTGCTTGAATTGTTCACTAATAATATCTACTTATACAATGAATTAAAACTGAACATTACTTGATTTTTAATAATTCTTCATATGATTACTATTTAATCATCAAAATATCTATTCAAATAATTTTTTCCCTACACGATCAATAATTACATCTGACTTTCAGATTATCTGGATGAATTAAACATTTTTATTGATTTAAACAGAAGGTATGGTTTGAGAAAGTGAAATTCAACACTTTCTTCAAATATCACATTTTACTAAGAAAGCAGAAGAAACTTTCAGGTATATTATTTATTTTGTTAAAATTTCTAATGAAAACTATCAACTAATATATAATTTTTTACTTAATAATGATAATAGAATAAATAGGTTGTGTGTATCAGTTTGATTAGGGATTCAACTACTGGACCAATATGAGCCGTCGTATTACTATTGAAACTCGAAACTCATTAATTTATCCACTAAGGTATTAGAAAGGTTTTGAGCTATCTCATGGTTAATAAAGGGAGTTCATTTGGTTGAAATTGGTATTTAGGACTCTACTACTGGTCACAATGGA